CATGATTTCATTGTATACAGTCAAGTAATCTAATGGGTGTATTGTAAATAATGTATTTTCCTATGTAAAATCTTCGGATTCAGTTCTGGAGGAAATAAAGAACCTATTTTGTTTAGAAGAGGAATATTTCAGGGCGATGCTTTTAGTCCTTGGCTTTTATGCTTTTCCTTAGCACAGATCCCCAACACCCCTTACTCACCTCCTTTACATGGATGAACTTGAACTCATTGCCAAATGAGTCTCCACTCTAAAACAACATATTCTTCTTGTCGAGTTCTTTTCGGATGATATTGGCATGTCCTTTGGACTCGACAAATGCTACATTCTTCATCTGAAACGTGGCATTTAGAAGAGGGAAACAAACCTCAGAATGCCCATATCAAGACAAACTTTAGGGGAATACAAATGTAGACTTACGAAAATCTGGATTTCGGAGCTGAACCCTCGCAATAAAGTCAAAGCCACAAATATTTATGCTGTACCCGTCCTTTTGTATTCCTTTGGTGTTGTTGATTGGACGAAACAAGAAATTCAGGGTATTGACAACTCACTCGAAGAATCATGTCAGATAATAGATCTTACCATCCTCGTTCTTCCCTCAATCGCTTATATTTTTACCAGTAGAATTAGGAGGGCGTGGTTTGATTAACGTCGAGCCTCTTCATGACAGAATAGTACTGTGCCCTTTTGCACACATTTATTTGTCTGATGATCCTCTCATGAAGCATGTCAAGATTCTTAAATGAGCCAAGGATGTGGGACATAATCTCAATATCAATGTTGATTTTGTTGATGGTTCTGTACTGCTGGACGGTACAGAAATGAGTGTCAAGCCAAGTGCCATATCAAATCGGCCCAGACTCAGTTTTTCAAGGAGAGGCTATCTGAACGACCACTGCATGGAGGTTACGTGCAGTGTGTTGAGAAGATCAGCAGCCCTGCAGTGTCGTTCGCTTGGATGAAGTCGGCTGGCCTGAAAAGCGAAACAGGAGGCTTTCTGTTTCCTGCTCAGAACCAATCACTTCCTACTTGAAACCGTCAATGTGTGATTTTGCATGAAAGTGCAAATATGAAATTAGATTATGCAATAGATTTAACGAGACTGTCCAGCACATTGTCAGCAGATAAATATAAATTTCTTTAGAACAGGCCCGTATACAGCCTCAGACCTATCCAGGCCAACAAACCCGATGTTGTCCTTTTTAATAAATCCAGTGAAATAATTTATGTCATTGAGTTTTCTGTCCCTTTTGATACCGATGTGATTGACAAGATTCAGGAATACAAATGGCAAATGGCTTTCGAAATGTTTTGCTTGCATTCAAAGTACCATGTTGTCCGTCTCCCCGTTGTTCTCGGTGCCTTGGTTTTGGTACCTCCCAATCTGTTGACTGACATTGGGAGAGTACCCGGGATTGCTGCCAGGGATACAGCCCTTTTGACAATCTGGGTAACGCAGAAGACTGCAGTGTTGGGGAGTCATCCCGAATGTCATGTTATCCCCAAGCATTCACAAATACACAGCTCAGACCAAATTGTGATGACACTTCGCCTCTTTGTACTTGTATTTATGATCGTTTTCGTCATCCTAAAAATGCCTAGTGGAGCTGAAAAATACACTTTATGCGGTAATACAATGGTGAATATACCTTAAGGACTGCTAATTGAGCACATTGCAGAAGAATTATTCATTTAAGATAACCAGCAACAATTTTAATTTTTTTTCTGTTTTGGCAATGTTGAGTTCTAAACTGCCGGCCAAAAGAAACCATACACTTGAAAATTAGATTTGACGAAAAGTTTAAAAACGTTATCAAAACGTTACTGGGCAGAAAACAGTGGCTATATACCTAAGGTCCAAAACACATCTTTGGTGCCCGTATCCAATTCATTACTATCGGATATCCATATATTGTTTGTTTTATTATAAACAACCATCAAACATAGGTGTTTACTTTCTTGTGTATGTACGGTGGTGTATATACGATGGTGTATTTACGATGGTGTATGTACGGTGGTGTATATACGATGGTGTATTTACGATGATGTATGTACGGTGGTGTATATACGGTGGTGTATATACGATGGTGTATGTACGTTGGTGTATGTAAGATGGTGTATTTACGATGATCTATGTACGGTGGTGTATATACGGTGGTGTATATAAGGTGGTGTATATACGGCGGTGTATATACGGTGGTGTATGTACGGTGGTGTATATACGATGGTGTATGTACGGTGGTGTATATACGGTGGTGTATGTACGGTGGTGTATATACGATGATGTATATACGATGGTGTATATACGATGATGTATATACGGTGGTGTATGTACGGTGGTGTATGTACGGTGGTGTATATACGATGGTGTATATACGGTGGTGTACGTACGGTGGTGTATATACGATGGTGTATTTACGATGATGTATATACGGTGGTGTATATACGGTGGTGTATGTACGGTGGTGTATATACGGTGGTGTATATACGATGATGTATGTACGGTGGTGTATATACCGTGGTGTATGTACGGTGGTGTATGTACGGTGGTGTATGTACGGTGGTGTATATAAGGTGGTGTATATACGGTGGTGTATATACGGTGGTGTATGTACGGTGGTGTATATATGATGGTGTATTTACGATGATGTATATACGGTGGTGTATATACGGTGGTGTATGTACGGTGGTGTATATACGCTGGTGTATATACGATGATGTATGTACGGTGGTGTATATACCGTGGTGTATGTACGGTGGTTAATGCTTCCCTATACCCGGCGGTTATATATTCATAGTGTGAGACTTACCATTCAGGGTCATTCAGTGTAAAATACTGCTTCGCGGCGCTTTGTTAATTTGCTATATATTTCTTTCAAAGTGTGTAACGAAAACAGTACGAACTAAAATGTCACCTTATCGCACGCCTATCTGAGCCTGTTACAATATAGAGTTACCTATTTTGGTTCTCCAATAATGAAGTCACAGCATCATAATGACCTCTTGTTGAAAGATCTTTTGAAAAACGAGCTCAGAGGTGCTGAAGAATAGGATAAATGCATAGTATTTCGGCGTTGTGTGGTTGTCAGTGTGTAACAAATTGAACTGGAAATATATACCACACTCACTTAAAATGCTATACACACCGCGTAAACCAACACCCCACGCGATAATGACATTTGATTGACAGCTATTGATGAAAGATAATGCACGTGTAATAACTTCCGTCTGTTAGTGTAAGTACAACAGCACATGTGATCGTGGCTGTTTTTAGTGATTGGGATATGACAAATGTATATTTTGTACAGCTGTTGAAAGAAGAGTCAATTACGATAAATGAGAAAATTCGCAAGCGTATGAAAAGCCATTTTTAGAAGGCTAAAATATTTATCATCCAAATCTGGCTCCACGGGAGATATTGCTCAGGTGAGATCAAGCGATATGTCTTTGGAGATATCGCTACTACGAAATTGCATCACAATGATTTGCAGGCCTTTGGGATGTATCATGTTACAATGCTCTCACAATCACACGACATCCCAAATCTCTCTGCCGCTGAAGCTGGTTAGTTGTACTTTTGACACTGGAAATATTAATTAGTGTTTGTAAACTGAAACAGTCAGAAAAATGATTTGGGATGGAAACTAAAATCTCACCCCTGTGTCTTTTGATATGAAATGTTTAAAACTCGTCGACAATCCTCGGAGTTTTAAAGGGGCGGTCGGGTAGCCTAGTGGTACAAGCGTTCGCTCGTCACGCCGAACACCCCGTTTTCGATTTCCCACATGGATACAAAGTGTGAAGCCCATTTCTGGTGTACCACACAGTGATATTGCAGGAATATGGCTAAAAGCGGCGCAAAACTATATTCACTCACTAATTCGGAGTTCTAAACATTTGATATGTTACCTTAAGTTATTTGGTGGTGGATTTGACGTTCAAATTTATTGATGTAGTATACACAAGATTCAACACAGCCTCATTCGTAAAATAAGGTTTCATTAAGTGCAATAAGTGTGTCATCACATTTGATTGGCCTCTTTCAAAAATAGGGCCATTTTGATTGTTTTAGTAATAAACATAGTTTTCATGCTGTGCGACATCATTTTGACACAATAATGTGAGTTGTTTACCACGTCATTATTTACTCGGACCCGTGACAATCCGGGGTGGAATAGGTCTTCAGCAACCCATGCTTGCGTAAATATTGCCTTTTCTTGTCGCAAGAGGCGACTAACGGGTTCGGGTGGTCAGTCTCGCAGACTTGGTTGATGCATGTCATCATATCCCATTTGCCCAGACACGATTATTTACAGACCGCCGTCATATAGCTGGCATATTGCTGAGTGCGGCGTTAAACAACAAGCAAACATTACCTGCTCGTGAGATCATGTGGTCCAGTCCATAGCTGGGCGATCGTATCAACCAGGTCGTTTACTGGTGATGAAAGAACTCATCCCAACATCGGATCGTGTATTTATTGAATTCGTCCGTTACATGCTTTTAATTATTTTGATCGTCAGATATAACGAATATTTAGATATATCGTTGGTATGAATATCATCAATACCGTCGGTAATGCAAGTAATACTAATGAAATTGACAGTGAAATTTCAATCGCTATGTTCAAAGCACATAAGTTGTCTGATAAACGTTAGTGAGTGAGTATTGTTTTTCGGCGCTTTAACACTATTCCAGCAATATCACGGCGGGGGACACCAGGAATGGGCTTCACACATTGTACCGGTGTGCATAGGGAATCGAACCCGCGTTTTCGGCGTGGAGAGCGAACGCTTTAACCAATAGGCTAACCAACCGCCCTGGGTGCCGTTGTACAAAACAACCAAAACAACTACGACTGCCGTAAGTCTATGTTAAGGTATGGAAGTAAGGACAAGCTTAGCGCTGAGATCGCTTTGTACAACACCACCCTGATAAACATGAAGATTTACAGTGCATGTCCAGCACACTGAAGGAAATTAACTATCCTTTTATTTCAGATGACAAATGGGACTGTGATCCCAAGTTTTTCAACGCTTTAGGGAGCCTTGTTTCTCAGTGCTCTATCAAATCAGCCGACGAAGGGGGCGATGACAAGGAGTTTGAACGGGTGGCACAAGACACAGTCACTCTTTTCAGGTAGGGATACTACAACTGTGCAGTGATGGTTCATACAGTTTTCCGACACTCCATATGATAGTTCAGTAATTTGTGTCGCCTTCATATAACCACAACGGTTGAGGTAGATGTTTCTGTCATATGCGCAACGGCTATATGTAATTTAAGATATCTGTTTCTCCATCATTTTGAACCAAGACCCTATGAAGGTTACATTACGTGTTTCCCCGTCAGATGTGTCAAGACCATATATAGTAAACTACGGTTATAACGAACTCAAAGGGACTACTAATTTTAGTTCGTTATAACCGTAGTTCGTTATAACCGTAGTTCGTTATAACCGTAGTTCGTTATAAGCATATATACATCATAACTACAGCAAAAAGTCGGGACCAAAAAAGTAAGTTCGTTATATCCGTCAGTTCGTTATAAGCGTGTTCGTTATAACCGTAGTTTACTGTGTTGTCACGGGGTGATTTCCAAATAGAAATGCAAAGGTTAACCCAGAAAGTGTGAAATCAGTAAATGACGACACAAGATCAATAAATAAATAACAAAATACATTGAAACATGCAGTTTTAGGTTCACAATCACAAATGTACTCACGAAAGTCCAGAATGTGTCACTGTTGAATGTCTTGAAAGTGGCACGTGCCCCGTTCTTGATTCCGGAAACAGTGTTGGAAGCTGGCCGGAAATGGGTGTACTCGGACAAGTGTCCTGTCCGCGCTTGGCAAGTAGATCGTAGGCCCACAATCGCCCTCGTCTCTCTATTATATAGGTATAGCCAGCCTTCGTCACCTGACGAACATTTTCCAATGAAATAGCCTTCGACCAATGTTGCCATTAAAACCCATGAAGTCACAACAATACCCGACATTGTACGACACTTCATCTGCTGCCGTTGACCATTGCGTGAAATACTTTGCAACAATGTACGGCCACAATACAATATCCGTTTCTCCATCTTTTGAACCAAGGCTATATGAAGCATATAACAAATGTTAAGATTGGGATGACAAAGCCAGCGATCTAACCCCCTCAGCCAAAACAAAACAGTAAAAAAATACGAGAATCTGTATTTTACTAAGAAAGTGCCATCCCAAATTTACCATTTGTTACATTTGACCACTTTCCAAATGGCATTGTGTGTTCATAGCTTTCTGCCATGGGAGACGTGCCAATTTACTCTTGACAGAGGGGTATATATATTCAGCTGGAATATTGCTGAGTGCGACGTTAAACAACAAACAAACAAACAAACAAAAATATCACTGTTTCCTTCCCGAACAAACACTATCATATTACAGATGGCTTGTGGTTTTGTTCTAAAATCCTTTATGAAATGCGAGACATTGGTTTGAACAATTACGTACCACGACCTGCTATAAAATTACTTCGAATTATCTTTCCCTGCAAAGTAATTCATCATTTGTGCTCAATATACATGTGATTGCAGTCGTGCCTTTGGCTCATTAAGGGAGCTAAAAAAGGTGTCATTGATCGTATTGCAAATGTCAGGCTTGTTACACACACGACAGGTGCCACATCAAACGGAACTATTCTAGCCATGTAAATATGTCAGGCTAGTAACTCTCTTTATTTTCTCTTTGAAAATGGAGTTCAGTTCTAAATCTGACGTGTTATAGAAACAGGACAATAAGAAAAAGAACATTCAACTGTTAATAAATGAGTTTTTTTCTATTTACGCAGTATTGGGAGTGAGGGGGGGGGGGGGGGGGGGGGGGGGGGGGGGTGTATTCTTACATCTCTTTACATTTAAACGATGAAGGCGTGTGTAAGAAAATATTTAATAACTTATGCATGTATGACAAACTTTAATAGTTTTAATGATACAGAAATGCCTGGTGTGATTTATTGACATTTATATTCAATACAAAATATTCTACTCAAAAGAAGTTAAACATCATCCCATTTATTCACGTGAGTGAGTGAGTGAGTTGGGTTTAACGCCGCTTTTAACAGTATTCCAGTTATATCAAGGCGTGTCAGCTTTCTGTGGGAGGAAAGCCCGAAGTGATGGAGGTCTCAGACGTTTACCACTTCACTAAAAATAACGAGTACGGGTATGGTGCTGACAAACCTAGAAACATAATCGGGGCGAACCGGGATTCGAACCCACAATCATAGGTTTCTGGCGTGCCCATGGGACGCAACTCTGCACAGCGAATCGCGGCGCCTTAGACGACTGGGCCACCCGTGCCCCCTTGAAGTCTGTCATGACAGATAACTATAGGTATATGATATAATCGTGTGTTATCTAACTTCTTCTGAGTAGTATATAGGCAAGCCAGGCAATGAATATATTTCTGACAACCCCATTTTCATTGAGAATTCGGAAGATTCCTGATAGGAACAAAACGTTACGACGTACCTATCTTGAACGGTTTAACTGACTTTCATCACAGAGACACACATTTCAGATATAATACCACATGTGGATAATGTCCATATCGCCTGCATGTTTCAGAGTGACGGACGCCAGTGGCAAACTGGAAGTGAACGAAGTAGCGTCAAAGCCGCTGAAACGAGAAGATCTGGACTCAAATGTAAGAACGAGCATTCAGTTTTCATAAATATACATAACGTTACTGATATAACATCATAATAATGACAGAGCACCTGTATGGAGTCCCGGTCAGTATAGGAATTCAGTATCCCCTGCTGGCCATTGTGGTGGGAGTCCCGTCCGGTGTCGTTGTACAAAACAACCTCAGCGCTACGACTGTCGTAAGTCTGTGTTGAGGTATGGGAGTAACGACAACCTTAGTGCTGAGATCGGTTTGTACAACAGCACCTGGTCTCTGCGGGGCCCCTGTTTCCCATGCTGGTAACTGCCCCCGGTATGCTGTTCCGGACAATACAGGGCCCTAGTATCCCTTGCTGGTAACAGCCCCCGGTATGCTGTTCCGGACAATACAGGGCCCCAGTATCCCATGCTGATAACAGCCCCCGGTATGCTGTTCCGGACAATACAGGACCCCAGTATCCCATGCTGGTAACAGCCCCCAGTATGCTGTTCCGGACAATACAGGACCCCAGTATCCCATGCTGGTAACAGCCCCCGGTATGCTGTTCCGGACAATACAGGGCCCCAGTATCCCATGCTGGTAACAGCCCCCAGTATGCTGTTCCGGACAATACAGGACCCCAGTATCCACTGCTGGTAACAGCCCGGGGTATGCTGTTCCGGACAATACAGGGCCCCAGTATCCCATGCTGGTAACAGCCCCCGGTATGCTGTTCCGGACAATACAGGGCCCCAGTATCCACTGCTGGTAACAGCCCGGGGTATGCTGTTCCGGACAATACAGGGCCCCAGTATCCCATGCTGGTAACAGCCCCCGGTATGCTGTTCCGGACAATACAGGGCCCCAGTATCCCATGCTGGTAACAGCCCCCGGTATGCTGTTCCGGACAATACAGGGCCCCAGTATCCCATGCTGGTAACAGCCCCCGGTGTGCTGTTCCGGACAATACAGGGCCCCAGTATCCCATGCTGGTAACAGCCCCCGGTATGCTGTTCCGGACAATACAGGGCCCCAGTATCCCATGCTGGTAACAGCCCCCGGTATGCTGTTCCGGACAATACAGGACCCCAGTATCCCATGCTGGTAACAGCCCCCGGTATGCTGTTCCGGACAATACAGGGCCCCAGTATCCCATGCTGGTAACAGCCCCCGGTATGCTGTTCCGGACAATACAGGGCCCCAGTATCCCATGCTGGTAACAGCCCCCGGTATGCTGTTCCGGACAATACAGGGCCCCAGTATCCCATGCTGGTAACAGCCCCCGGTATGCTGTTCCGGACAATACAGGGCCCCAGTATCCCATGCTGGTAACAGCCCCCGGTATGCTGTTCCGGACAATACAGGGCCCCAGTATCCACTGCTGGTAACAGCCCGGGGTATGCTGTTCCGGACAATACAGGGCCCCAGTATCCCATGCTGGTAACAGCCCCCGGTATGCTGTTCCGGACAATACAGGGCCCCAGTATCCCATGCTGGTAACAGCCCCCGGTATGCTGTTCCGGACAATACAGGGCCCCAGTATCCCATGCTGGTAACAGCCCCCGGTGTGCTGTTCCGGACAATACAGGGCCCCAGTATCCCATGCTGGTAACAGCCCCCGGTATGCTGTTCCGGACAATACAGGGCCCCAGTATCCCATGCTGGTAACAGCCCCCGGTATGCTGTTCCGGACAATACAGGACCCCAGTATCCCATGCTGGTAACAGCCCCCGGTATGCTGTTCCGGACAATACAGGGCCCCAGTATCCCATGCTGGTAACAGCCCCCGGTATGCTGTTCCGGACAATACAGGGCCCCAGTATCCCATGCTGGTAACAGCCCCCGGTATGCTGTTCCGGACAATACAGGGCCCCAGTATCCCATGCTAGTAACATCCCCCGGTATGCTGTCCCGGACAATACAGGACCCCAGTATCCCAGCATAAAGCTATTGGTGAAAACTAGCATAGCTTGCATACCGCGTAAGGATAAAGGGTGCGTCACCCGGTCACAGGAATGACGTCATAATATACTCGATTATGTCCCTTTGTTCCGGGTTAAGAGATAAACATTCATTGGAATTTTTGCCACAATATCGATAAACTGTATCTGATATACTATTTCACTGAAGATAAATATTTTGTCAAGGGTGACATCATATATATGTCGCACATCAAGTACTCGTGACGTACTTTCGTACGGCAAGACTTAAGAAACTTCATTTGCATTGTACCATGTAACATAATCAAATGCAAATCGATTTTCTTAATTCTAAGAAATAGTTACAAAAGTGTCTTTCGCCTTATTTCGATTATAACAGATTATTGTGAGTGAGTATGGCTTTAAGCTGTTTTTATTAATAGTCGAAGGGTATATTACGGATGAGACGCCCGAAACGGGCTTCTCTCATATTACCCATGTGTGGAATCGAACCCAAGCCTTCGGTTGGTTTACCCTACCGCCAATATCAAGTACAATATATACTAGGTTAACCATTAGTGAGTGAGTATGGTTTTACGCCGCTTTTAGCAATATTCCAGCAATATCACGGCGGAGACACCAGAACTGGGCTTCACACATTGTACCCATGTCGGGAATCGAACCCGGGTCTTCGGCGTGACGCGCTAACGCTTTTACCACTAGGCTATCCGACCGCCTCGTTAACCATCACCCTGTCATTGCTTAAACAGACCTATGAAATTGTGACTTCCAACCTATATATGTGAAATATTCATACAAAAACAAGGCAGATACGGATGATATATTGCGCAGTCTTGATCCAGGGTAGCACCCTTTGTGTAAGTAGCTTCCTGTGTCCGCTAGGGCGTTGTGAAGTGTGTGCGTCAGCTGTCACCGTCATAGCAGGGGGCGCCACCTATCGGTGTTGATGTCATACAACTCCCAGACACCGTCCTGCAGGCAGACAATGTGAACTTTACATGGCCGCGTATCTTGGATATATTTACAGTTACGATACCGGGTGTTTATTTTCTTCAACAGTTTGGACACTATTTACGTCAAATGACGTCACGCGATAATGACAAAAGAGGGATTGCTTTTCATTTTATTTAATCGTGTGAAAGTGTATTTGTGAGATTAAAAGGCACGTGTTATGGCGTCTTTCTAGAGACTCAACTCTTGTCCGCCAAAACAAGAGAGTTCTGTTCACTGGTGGTATTTTAAACACGCCTATCGAATTTCGTGTGGTAAAGATTAATACTGGGCAATTAGAACTTCAGATGACGCCGTGTTAAACTTGTTGATGTTTTAACGCCAGACGCTGTGCCAAAGTGAAGGCACTGTCATGCGCAGCATTCTCAACAAGCCTTTGTTTATAGATGTTTATTCGTTATGTTTATCCCGTTGTTCTGTTTTGTTCCTCGGTGCAGTCATACTGTATATGACAAAAATATAAACTGCCGGGCCAAAAAACTATACACCTATGTTTGATGGTCGCTAAAAATTAAATAAACACGAAACGGCTATTCGATGGTTTTTGATACGGGCACATTGTTGTGTTTTGGATCTTACGCAGTTTCGGCGACCGTTTTCAACCTATTAACGTTTTGATAATGTTTGTAGTTTTTGTTGAATCCAATTTTCAAAAGTATACGTTCTTTGGCCCGGCAGTTTTTTACATTGACACGGTCGCTCATCATGAAGTGAGGTCAGGTGAGGTGAAATTTGGTTTAACGTCGCGTCCAAGATTATTGCACTTATATAGCGACGTGCATGTACGTGTGTGTGTGTGGCTGCTTGTACTAGTTCGGACTGATGCAGATTTATAGTGCTAGCACACTGAGATACCATGCCGCAGTTTTAACATGAATACCCCACTCAGACACAGTATACTGACTCCGAGCTGACCAGTCCTTGTTTTAACCCCCTTAATGCCGAGCGCCAGACAGGGTAACAACAAGTACCATCTTTTAACGTCTTTTGGTATGACGCGGCCGGGGATCGAACCCCGGACCTTCCGCTCTCCGGGCGGACGCTCTACCACTAGACCACGGAGGCGGTCTCATCATGAAGTATGATCTATTACTTGTTTGGTCGAGAAACATTTATGTTTTATAATCACATCCTTCGTAGTTGTCTCAGACAGAAACTATACATCAACCTGAAGATATAATTATATCCAATTGCAGGTATATAGTACACTAATCCATATTAGTACCAAACCGAAGATTGAAATTAGGCTGCAATATACTCCTTAAGACACCTGTAAACAGAAGATGTAAATTAAACGACAGATATAATCATTTATCATTCAAAACTGGATTCCACAGGAGATATCGCTTGGTGAGATCGGACGATATCTCCCACGATACGTGTATATCGCTTCAATGAAAATGCAGCACAATGCATCGTTACCGTGTCGTCACAATCAAATGACATCACTAATCTCTCTGCCACTGAAGTTTGTTATCTGTATGTTTTACACTCAAGACACAGCTGGTTATTACTCTTTACAAACTGAAAAAGTAAGGAGAATTATTTGGGATGATAGACATAATTTGTTATCGACTGGTGTTGATATATTTGATATCAAAAGACACTCGAGTGGGATTTTCTAGTATTGAACTGAAAAGAAACATCAAACTTGGGCTTGGTGACTTGGCTGATTGCGTGTCATCGTTATAGTATCAGTCAAGGTTTTCCCTGGTTCAGACTCGATTATGTACATGCCGACATGATTTAGCTGGGGATGTTGCTGATTGCGATGTTAAATACCAAACAAACAACATCAAACTAAAGAAAAACATCAAGTGAAGATTAAATTGAATTGAATTGAAAAATACTGTTATCTTATGCAAAATCCCCTCTCTAGAAATGGACAGTGGACTATTACGCCAGCAAACAAATAGCCTCCCTTGGGCACAGCATCAGTTGCAAATGCTTGCCTCCGCCTTCCTGACCGAAACATCGCTTTCATAGAAGCAGCCGAATCTTTCATGCTACTAATAATCATCTTTCAGGACTGCTTCATCTTAGACTCGGGGCCGAGCGGGATATACGTGTGGGTCGGGAAGAAGTGCACTCGGAATGAAAAGAAGTCAGCGTGGCAGAAAGCCACGGTATGTACTAGAGCTTGTTTTTCTTCACAATGTCCTCACTATGTCCTCACCATGTCCTCACAATGTCGTCCCAGGTTTTCCAAATCCTCACCATGTCTTCCCATGTCTTGACATGTCCTCGCCATGTCTTCCCATGTCCTCACCATGTCCTCATCATGTCTTCCAATGTCTTCACCATGTCTTCCCATGTCTTGACATGTCCTCGCCATATCTTCCTATGTGTTCACCATGTCTTTCCACGTCTTCCCATGTCTTCACATGTCTTCCCATATCTTCCCATGTCCTCACCATGTCTTCCCAAGTCTTCCCATGTCTTCACCATGTCTTTCCACGTCTTCCCATGTCTTCACCATGTCTTCCCATATCTTCCCATATCTTCACCATGTCTTCCCATGTCTTGACATGTCCTCGCCATATCTTCCTATGTGTTCACCATGTCTTCCCACGTCTTCCCATGTCTTCACCATGTCTTCCCATATCTTCCCATGTCCTCACCATGTCTTCCCAAGTCTTCCCATGTCTTCACCATGTCTTCACAAGTGTTCCCATGTCTTCACCATGTCCTCACAATGTCTTCCCATGTCTTCTCATGTCCTCACCATGTACTCACCATGTCTTCCCATGTCTTCCCATATCTTCACCATGTCCTCAACTCGTCCTCCCATATCTTCACATGTCCCCACTATGTTTGCCATGTATTATCATGTCTTCCCATATCCTCACAATGTCTCACCATGTCCTCACCTAGTGCACTCTTGTGGCTGCCACGTTCTCTTGTCCCAGCTCTCTCTTCATGTCCTCGTAGGATTTGCCGTGCTGTAACTTACAATAGTGTGTGAGTTGGGTTTAATGCCGCTTTGAACAGTACTCCAGTTATATCCCGCCTTATCAGCTTGATGTGGAAGGAAAGCACGAAATGATGCAGGTCTCAGACGTTTGCCACTTTGAAAACCCACAAGAACGGGAATGGTGCTGATAAACCGAGAGAAAAAAATCGGGGCGAACCGGGATTCGAACCCACAATCATAGGTTTCTGGCGTTCCCAAGAGACTTGAGAACCCACACAGTAGTTCGGCATTATTCTAACAGTATAATTTGAACGTATCCATTGGTTTCACGCCGCTCCCAGAAATACTGAAGCTGACGAAGGGGAACACCACAAGCAGGCTTCAATGTACACGGCAGTCTTTGGCGTCTCTGGCGTCTTTACCATCAGGCGGCTCAGCAGTCCATGCATTTGTTATCGTGCAAACTTCAATACGTTTCTGTAAAACTTCATTCATCTAAAGTACCTATTTGCTTCAATATGTTTCCAAATTACACCGACAGTCAACTATCTCTCTCTATTTAATGTATTCAGGAAAACATTCGTCGTTTCCCTTCTAAATATAGTCCCTTGACCCCCAGCGCTATCTATAAATGTCAGTTAATACATCCATACGTCGCCGGATGTGCACGTACATTTGTACATAGGTCACTGACCTTGCGCCACGGACGGATTGCACGGCTAGTTGTGGCGTCGGCTACGACCGCAGCCTCGCCAACGACTACGTCGATGATGGCGAATCGCCTTCCAACTTCCTGCCTGTGCGTTCTGTCACGTGATTGCCATTACATTCTTTTCGACCTATTCCAACCATCTACTATAACCATGGCTGTGGTCTCCAACCCGTCATCCCTGAGTTTTGTCTCCCGTCAACACCTTGAGCTACCATCCAGGGCAAAACGTATGCTCCTTGACACATTCAAGAAAGGATACATACAAAACCGCTAATGATTGAGAAATGATTGTTCGTTTGATTCCATTGGAACTACGCCCTTACAGGAATTCGGTTCCAAATAATCCTGACAATCGATAGTGTTGTGTTCAAATCAAATATGTTCCATCATCTGTATCTCATGACCTCCCTCACACACTACATCCGTGAAGATCCGGGTTAGAATAGATCTTCAGCAACCCATCCCTGCCGTAAATGGCGACTAGAGCCGACTAACGTGATCGGGTGGTAAGGCTCGCTGACTTGTTTGATGCATGTCATCAATCCCATTTGCGTGGATCGATGCTCATGAGACTAATCACTGGATTGCCTGGTCCAGACTCGATTATTTACAGACCTCCGTCATTTAGTCAGACTATTGCTGAATGCGGATTTAAACAACAAACCAACCGACCAATCCTTACACACTACATGTATACGGTACACTAGGATGTCTACAGAAATATGAAACAACGCCAGAAAATAACCTCGATTATCCGACGAACCAGATTCCACTGGGCTTTAAAGGCAAAATAGCGATGAAAACTTAACGAATGGATTACTGAAACTCAGTGATGACTCCAGGTTAAAAGGGTAAGCAATGTCCTGCCTTACCGTAGCACCCGAAGAAACGTCTCGCAGTGTTACATTCAGTATGCAACCCAATCAACAAAGTAACCCACGACATTTCGTACTCAAATAAACCTTCGATGATACGGTTTCTCTCATGCGCCAGACGTAACGCTTCCATTGCTAGGTAACGCGAAGCTGGCATTGGGATATCAATGGTGTTCTGTTTACGTATTGCTCGCAGCCTTGAAGATGAAAATGAAAAAAAGTCCAACCATGCTTACGCTAGCATTACCTGTTTTCTTACCTTTTCATCGGAATGCAGAAATGGGGAAACTTTGCAGGAAAAATAACTACGCCACGCTATCGACTTTTTGAGCTTTGGGTTGTTAGAAATAGATAGATGAGATAAAATGGGAGGTCGAGGAGGTTCGCCCTGCACGTGCGGGATGCATCAACTCGCCGTCTGGGTGTAAACAAACCCAAACATGCATGCGCAGTATCTTTGGCATTTTATGAATAGAAGAAACAAAATAACTATTCATGGAGTGTTAAGCGTGGTAGCAGATTATATGAAGCACCAAGGTTCGCTCGGGGCCAGATATGGATGCTTAAATATCTATGTGATTTGATAAAGATGTCGAATTCGTCTCCATTGATGTTAGATATCCAGGTTAATGGGACCAACCCTGTCGACGTTGAGTGTTTACTGGAGTTGTGTTTTTGGTCTTATTTTGTTAAGAGATTGCAGCAACAGTTGTTAAAAGAAATTCAGAAAAACAATCAAGTGACCTCATCGCATCAAATAAATAAAAGCGTCAAAATCCTTGCAATAGCCACAAGAAAGATCTCTGTTAAACGCAGAGTCGATTGTACGATACCGACTATCATGAGTAAGTGTTTATGAGTATAGCTATACACACACACACACACACACACACACACACACACACACAAAATATTGATGATATCAGGTGTTCGCGAAAACGAAAAGTTGAGCCTTTCCTGCCCCAGTGGTTGCATCCGTCACAAACACATGCAAAGACAAGTCAATTGTTCACCTAAAACAACACGGGAACATAGGAAATGAGGAAAAGGAAACTTGATTCAGAATTATTTACTACCATTATTAACGAGGGAGCTTTTACGCTTCCTTTAGCAAATTTGCAGCCCCTGCACTTCGATGTCCCTAAGCATGATAAGTGTGTGGTACATGTACTTATAACTGGGAATGCCGACTCAAACCAATTTGATTCACGGCGATTTACGCCGATATTACCACCATACTTATACGTCTTGCATCTTGATTGATTTCCAGAGTGAGTGAGTGAGTTAAAGAGTTGGGTGAAGTGCAGCGTTGAACAGTATTCCTTGTGACGTAGTGTAATGGTTTCCAGGCAATGATATATAAGTAAGTATGTAACTAAAATTCATGACAATATGTATTTTTTTGGTCACTGACTCCAGTGTTTATGTTTATTCAGGACTTCCTGTCCATGCGAGGGTACCCCGAGTGGACGTCGATCACCCAGCTGGTGGAGGGAGGGGAGACGCCCCTCTTCAAACAATACTTCTCCCTATGGGCACCCCCTAACGCCCAGAGGGGGCTGGGACAGGTCTACAAGACCAATAGAATTGCCAGTGCGTTTATTGTTTACGATGAGATAGCACCTAGCACATGCGCAGTAGTAGAAGTAGTTGACGAAGACGTAACAGTTGTCAATTGAAACAATATGTTAACCAGACATCTGTACGTTAAAGAATTTAGTGTTAAACTAACGCACAACCAACAAATGGTATACAATCAACAATTGTATTACACAATTAACTAGGTTTACAAATCAATACAAATTACTGCACAGCAATTACAATGGAAGTATGCAATAGAGTGGTTGTACAATATTCAAAGGCAGTATCAAATTCAACATATGTGGCAGTGGTGATAGCAAAACGTTCAGTGATAATCATATACACCCATCCGCAACAGAGGTCAAGCCTGCGACAGGCCCTGGCTGGGAATCCGTGGTGATAAGTGATCGTCACACAAAGCTGGTTTTGATGTAATGTCAGATGAAATGTGAGATGACAGGCTTCCAACACTTTCCACACAGTGCCAGACCAGTCCAGTGTCACAAGAACATCACAGAATATTCCACATGTCTCTATGATGCTTGACATCCATCCATGCTATTCCGGAAGTTTACAGATTATTCGAGCATCTAAATATAATACTCAGCAATATTCCAGCTACATGACAGCAGTAAATAATCGAGTCTGGACCGGACAATCCAGTGTTTCACATCATGAGCATCGATCCACGCAATTGGGATACGATGACATGCATCAACCAAGTCAGCGAGCCTGACCATCCGATCCCGTTAGTCGCTTTTTACGACAAGCTTAGTCCCTTTTTACGGCAAGCATTGGTTGCTGAAGACCTAGTCTACCCCGGGTCTTCACGGGTCAGTAGTAGTAGTAGTAGTAGTAGCAGTAGCAGTAGCGGTAGTAGTAGTAGTAGTAGTAGTAGTAGTAGTAGTAGTAGTAGCGGTAGTAGTAGTGGTAGTAGTAGTAGTAGTAGTAGTAGTTGCGGTAGTAATAGTAGTGGTAGTAGTTGCGGTAGTAGTAGTAGTAGTAGTAGCGGTAGTAGTAGTAGTGGTAGTAGTAGTAGTAGTCGTAGTAGTAGCGGTAGTAGTAGTAGTAGTAGTAGTAGCGGTAGTAGTAGTGGTAGTAGTAGTAGTAGTAGTAGTAGTTGCGGTAGTAATAGTAGTGGTAGTAGTTGCGGTAGTAGTAGTAGTAGTAGTAGCGGTAGTAGTAGTAGTAGTGGTAGTAGTCGTAGTAGTAGTCGTAGTAGTAGTAGTGTCATTAATTCATTCATCAAATCGAGCACATGGTTCCTACATTCCACTTGTAACAGCACGATCCTTTATACTTCCTCTTCTCCAGAATACAGCAATGAGAAATTTGATGCCACTGGACTTCATAAAAAGACATCCAAATCCAAGAAGGATTTCATCCCCGACAATGGCTTGGGCACAAAACAGGTAATTCGTGACTCAATAATTGATTGCTTTCTCACCTCCTACAACACATGCATTACATCACAGTGTTGAGGACAGAGTAGACAGTCTTCCACTGACTGCAGTTTTCTTATAATTCGGTTTTATTAACAAAAGGAACTTTGATGTTGGTGCGATTCCATGGATTCATTTAACACATCCTCGTGCTCGTGAACACAAAGTGCTTTGTTCCACGGGTGATCTGCCAACCCGGCAACAAGCAGCTTAAGCAACGCATGGATCAATTATGTTTCACTGTGACATTCCCCGTAGATCTGGCGAATAGAACAGAACGCCATGGTGATCCTGCCCGAAGAGATGCACGGCGTGTTCTACACCGGCGACTGTTACATCGTCCTCTACACCTACAAGGTCGGCAACAGGGAGAGCTACATCATCTACTTCTGGCAGGTCAGTACTGCAGCAGTTCAAAACTTCAACACCAAAGAATCAGTCTCGATAATCTGCCGAAACAGATTCCATTGGGCGTAAAATGCATGTGCATTGTGGGAATGGACCACTAAAATCAGTGACGATTCGGAATAAGCACGTCCTGTCCTACCTGTTGAACCTACCGGTCACACAATTGGCTTTAAAAAAGTGTGTTAGTTGCACAACGCCACACATGGCGTGACTCGTACATGTATTTGCCAAGGAACAAAATGCAAGAACATTAGTATCTCACTAGCATGTATTCATGTACCATAGATGGAATATATTACTGAGTGATTACCTATTTAGTAAATAGAATAGTTAACGTACTTATACCGAGACATTGATATGTCATACGATACATACAGTCCCGTACGCCCACACGGTGTTACACAAGCATATAGCCAATCATTTATCTTCAATGGCTTACATGCACAGGTAAAACAACTTTCATATATCAAGGTCATGACATGGTATACAGCACATGCACTATCCATGCCTAGTAAGGTAGTAACCCTTCCATATCTCGAGGTAAAGACATAGTATACAATTGTGTATGTAAATAAAAGCGACAAACCCCTTTGCATATTACAACTGCCGAAAATATTAGCATGGGTTATAAGCCGTATACAGATCTAGCTCGCAGGTAGACATCAATGTAGACAAACATAGAAATAGAGAAACACAGAACCTCATGCAAGGTATAGATATCAAGGTTGAATAAACCAAAAAGAACCACACAAGTGTAAGGAAGAAGTGAGGACCACTTCAACCTCTGTCCGATCTGTCCTTACAGGGAAGCAAGAGCACCATCGACGAGAGGGGAGGATCCGCAATACTTGCCCAGCGACTGGACGACAACGATCTCCACGGCAAAGCTATACAGGTAATGGCCAACTTCCCACTAGAAGTGTCCAGTTCTCATTCTACATGACTCCTGATAAGAACACTAAGACATTGACGCCATGGTCGACTTGGTTGGCCAATGTTATTGACAGTGCGCCATTGATTGCTGGCAAGTAGGTAACACTCATGTTCTTCTTCAGTGGAAAAACACACCAGCAGCAGCAGAATACACTGCCGGGCAAAAGAAAGTATATACATGTAAATTGGATTTGACCAAAAACTACAAACAAAATCAAAACGTTACTAGACTGTAAACAGTCGCCGAGACGATGCACACTTAAGGTCCAAAAAACAACTATGACAAATCTATGTCAGTCTTGCTTGACAACGGTATAAGGATCTATACCAACACTTCGCCTTTTACAGTATTAAAGAAGTTGTTATCCATAAAATTGTGTCTACCTTGACAAGTATGACAGCCGTGTCAAATGCATCCTCACTGAATAACCATTTCTTGTTTCTTTAAGTTTTATCCATCAACAAACATGGGTGTATACTTTCTTTTGCCCGGCAGGTTGTGTAGTGTTCCTTCACTTACTAAATCATACCAAAAGGGGACAGAGCCACAATTTGCTATTCGGACATCCGTCGAATAACAGGAACAGTGTCCATTGGTGATGGGTTCTCATCTCAAAATTATTATGATTATCATACTTGGTTTGTCATCATCATCCCCGTGCTCGTGTTTTTCAAGTCGCTGACATCTTCGACATGCCTCATGACGGCATTTCCTCCCACATCAACCTGACACACCGGGATAGGAATTCTACTTAAACTGTAATTGCGGAGCTCACTCATGTTTTTACTTCTATTCAGATTCGGGTTGTACAGGGACAAGAGCCTGAGCACTTCCTGCGGTTATTTCAGGGGAAGATGATTATATTCTTGGTAAGTATTTGGATGTGTGAAGATATCACTGTGACATGGCTGTGCTCCAGCTTGATAAATCCTAAACATAAACAGATGTAGTGAATAAGTACACATGAATTTCAAGTTTTTACCGGGTTTGTAAATTTTCACCATTTACCCGTATTCAAATATATTCTCTCAAAAAGGAACATATTTACATATTGATGAAGGGGTCGAATAAGGACCTTATTGCCCAAAGGATAAGCAACTTTAAAAAACGAGTACAGGTTTAGAAATCGTTATGTGCTTTCTCAGATGTGTTCACATGATTGAGAATAAAACGTTTATATATACAAGTGCAGCGTTTATAACACACTACATATATGGGGAGGGTTAACATGGGTTAAAAGGACTGATGTTATGATAGGTTTTCAGGAATATATTTTTTTGTAATAGTTTACATAAGCAAGACTTTGAACCACGATGTCAGGAGAAACACATGGTAAAAAATACATCTTTGGTCACGGGCTTCCTCGTAATTATATTTTAATTGGTAAAAATGACATTTTTTCCTAATTTTAGCTATTTTTGTGCCCTTGATTATGCCAAGTGTAACAGAGACTAAAGGCTAGTTTCGGCCATTGGAAATGTCTGGCACCACACTATTTCAAAGTTTTCTGTTATATTCCCAATGGACCAAAAGGGTTATTGTCCTACCTCGTCCTAAAGTCAAATTCTGGGTGAAGCGAACTGGCGTTAACCTCTCAATCCTGGACATGTCTATAAAATAGCCACGTGCGAGTACATGTATGTGCTGAGATAACCACTTTTCGAGACGTAATGGTGCGTAGTACTGATGGCGCTCAAGCCTGGCTGTTGTTGGAACTCTACGGTTCATAACCAACTCAGGCAAACACAACAGGATTCAGCTGTGTACGAGTTGATTTCAAGTCGCTGTTTCTCTTCAGGGCGGCATTAACAACGAAGTGGAAGAGAGCCCAGCTAAGGTGTATCACATTCGAGGAACTAATGAGTTCAACACACGAGCTATTCAGGTAACACCCAGATTTCTAATATTGAGTACTCCTGAAGATAGGTGCATCTTTCTCCCGAAACTTAATACTTTTGAAAATAGGTTCCACTTTTTATTGACATTTAATACCATTTCAGATAAGGTGCCACTTTCTCCTAATATTGAATACCACTAACTTTAGGTGCCAATTTAAATCGACAAGAAATACCATGTCATGATACATTTCCTGACACTGAATACCCAAAAGGTAGATGCCACTCTTTCCTGGTATTCAATATAAATGATGATATGCAATGCCCCTGAAAATAAGGTGCCCCTTTCTCCTGATATTTAATACCACTGAAAATAGGTACAACTTTAAACTCATATGTAACACCAGTGACGAAATGTACTACTTAGCCCAGAAATTGAATACCTCTTACGGTCGGTGGCACTTTCTCCTGATATTTGATACCACCGAAGATAAAATGCCACTTTCTCCTGACATTGAAAACCACTGAAAATAGGTGCCAATGTCTATTGACATGTAGAAAATGTGGCACTTTCTCCTGATATTTGATACCACCGAAGATAAAATGCCACTTTCTCCTGATATTTGATACCACCGAAGATAAAATGCTACTTTCTCCTGACATTGAAAACCACTGAAAATAGGTGCCAATTTCTATTGACATGTAGAAAATGTGGCACTTTCTCCTGATATTTGATACCACCGAAGATGAAATGCCACTTTCTCCTGATATTGAAAACCACTGAAAATAGGTGCCAATTTCTATTGACATGTAGAAAATATGGCACTTTCTCCTGATATTGAATACCCCTTTCGGAAGGTACCGCTGTCTCCTGATATATAATATCACTGCAGGTTGGTGCCACTTTCTACTGTGAATACCACTGCAAATAGGTTCCTATCCCAACTCGCACGTCACTGAATGTTGGTACCAGGTGTAGGTCAAGGGGTTACTCCGTCTGCTTAACTAATCACTATCGACTTAGTGTGAATCATGGCGAAGTGGCTTTCTGTAGCACTTGAGGAAAGTACTGTGGAAGAAATACCGTCAAGTTAATGTGATCGTAAGGTTAACATCAAGCTGGCTAATTACGTTTCTCCAAAGGTTAAGTAAACCGAAAAAGTAAGCGAAACCCACTTAATCCGGATGGTGACTTTCCTGGCAAACACGTCCGGATTAACGAATACACATAGTAATAATGTACCTTTATAATGTAGTATGTTCAGTGAACGGTCATCCTCCAGTAAGCGAGTTTACCGGATTAACAAGGTTTGGCTGTACATTGTTCATCAAATTCATTGTGTTACTATTTCATGTTTTCATTGTTTACCATATAGATATAAGCGACAAAATCCTTTGTGCTAATCCGACAATATCATAAGCATGTGTTTATGAATCACAGTCACATTGTGGTGATAACATGTGTTCGCGAAAAGCAGAGCATATCCTGCTCCACCTAGGCTCCCGTCACAAACACATATCCATCCCCTGTTGTTAACGCAGTATAATGACATTAATAAGCATGTATTTAATAACATGAATGATATCAATAATAAATCCTGGGATACAACATCAACAAGGTAGATTTCACTTTCTCCTGACATTGAATACCGCTGTAGGTTGGTGTCACTTTCTCCTGACATGAATACCGCTGTAGGATGGTGGCACTTTCTCCTGACATTGAATACCGCTGTAGGTATGTGCCACTTTCTCCTGACATTGAATACTGCTGTAGGATGGTGGTACTTTCTCCAGACACTGAATACCGCTGTAGGTATGTGCCACTTTCTCCTGACATTGAATACCACTGTAAGGTGGTGGCACTTTCCCCTGACACTGAATACCGCTGTCGGATGGTGGCACTTTCTCCTGACATGAATACCGCTGTAGGTATGTGCCACTTTCTCCTGACATTGAATACCACTGCCGGATGGTGGCACTTTCTCCTGACACTGAATAGCGCTGTAGGATGGTGGCACTTTCTCCTGACACTGAATACCGCTGTAGGTATGTGCCACTTTCTCCTGACATTGAATACCGCTGTAGGATGGTGGCACTTTCTCCTGACATTGAATACCGCTGTAGGTATGTGCCACTTTCTCCTGACATTGAATACTGCTGTAGGATGGTGGTACTTTCTCCTGACATAAATACCGCTGTAGGTATGTGCCACTTTCTCCTGACATTAAATACCACTGTAAGGTGGTGGCACTTTCCCCTGACACTGAATACCGCTGTAGGATGGTGGCACTTTCTCCTGACACTGAATACTGCTGTAGGTATGTGCCACTTTCTCCTGCCATTGAATACCCATTGAGGGATGAGCCACTTTCTCCTGGCATTGAATACCGCTGTAGGTATGTGCCACATATTCCTGACATTGAATACCAATGTAGATATGTGCCACTTTCTCCTGACATTGAATACCCATTGAGGTAGGAGCCACTTTCTCCTCATATTGAATACCCATTGTGGTAGGTGCCACTCTTTCAGACATATTCGCAAGTGACAGTAACCGCAATCCAGCAATATTGGCATAACACCTTTGTTGTGTTCTGTATATCTTGTCATTAACTTGTTATATTATGTTCCAAACTTCATGCATATCATGTCTTATCAAATGTATTGAATAACCCCTTTCAATCACATTGCAATAAATTGCATGCCCAAAATGGAAACGCATAACATGTTAATATTTTTACGAAGCTCATTCTGTTGATGGGAAGTCTTCCAGGTTGCATTGCTACATGAAAATAAAGTCAACATGTTTTCTGAAGATAAAGTGCCACAAAACGGTTTTATTGCTTTATGACTTTGATAGAGTTATTATCGATGACCTTTGACATTTGAATTTGTCACTAATTTTGACAGATTTATAAAACATGTTTTCATAAATTATTCCGTTAACGAAGTGACTTTTGTAAATTTCCATTCCAACAAGACTCAATAATAATGCGAGAAATAACGATATTGGTAGACTTGAGGCTGATGAATCACAACTATCAGAGGCAAGACATTGTGACCTTGCCTAGAGATCAATCTCCCGATTTTGGAAAGATATCCGCAATGGGCAGCATCAGAGATCGTCCAAGATCAGGGAGACCCGCATCACCACAGCAGCCTACATCTGAATCCTACACCTTTGAAACAGGATAAACACTACACCGTACACTGAAACACAAATGACTGGCTTCACGTCCCATCTCTGCACAGACTGTCCAAAGCCCTTTACGAGCCGCCGGAATCAGAGCAAGAAGGCCCTTCACGATGTTATTTTACCTCAACGTAATCGACTTCAACGGCTACGGTGGTTTTGATTACACATCACCAGCGACTTCCCCTACGTTGGCGTAGCGTTGGTTTAGTGACGAATCCCGTTACTTCTTCAAAGGAGATATGGGCGTATCTGTGTGTAATAATTACCGGATGTTCCGCCCAATAAGTTGACAGATTCGGTGGGGCGAACAACAGATCGTGTTCGGGGCAACTTAACAGGTGTGCGTTATCGTGACGAGATCATACATCCTCACGTTTCCCCGGCCCCTAACACCGAGCGCCATGACAATGTCCGTCCCCACACACAACACGAGTCAGAATGAGAACTCAGAACACAAACGTTCTGAGGCGGCAGTCAAGGTCACCCGATCTCAACCAAATTGAGCATCTGATTAACTAGACAGACGGTTACGTCAACGCCAATGTAGGTCACAGAATATGCCGCAATTACGCCAAGCTCTTCAGGAAGAATGGGGTGTCTGTCATTTCACAAGATGTCATCCAGAGGCTTCTTCGTTCCATGGGGAGGAGGTGTCCTGCAGTCATTCAGGCCCAAGGTGGACACACACACGGAAATAAGCGTCACGACTGCTTGCTTGAGATGGTGACGTAAACGGCACATGCGAATACTTTAACGTTAACGTTTGATGAACTCTTTGTAATTTCCTATACCCTAACATCTTCAACGAATCGCTTTTGAGACTGATTCGATCTCTTGAAAAACACGTATGCGTTTCTTATAGGGTAGCATTTCTTGATTTTTCCGAATGTGAAATATCAACATGATTATTCTGCAAAAACCTTGGACGTTTAAAAACGTCCAAGGTTTTTGCATATAAATATAAAATTATATATTCAATAAATAAAGCCATGGCCAACTATTGCAGGTTGTAGCAAGAGCCGCATCTCTGAACTCAAATGATGTCTTCGTCGTGGAGACCGGTGCCGACTTGTATCTCTGGATTGGAAAGGTGAGTCTCTCACGTACCCTGTCACTTCAGAATGTTGTTGGTGGTCGTGGTACGGTTACAAACGGTAAGATGAAATAGGACTTACCACAGCGTCCAAGATTATTGCACTTATATAGCGTGTGTGTGTGGCTGCTCCGGTCTGATGTCGATTCATAGTGCTATCTCACTGAGATATCATGCCGCAGTTTAACATGAATACAACACAGTATACCAACGCCGAGCCGACCAATCCTTTTTTTGGCCCCTTAATTCCGAGTGCCAGTAAGGGTAACAGCAAGCACCATATTTTAAAGTCTTTTGGTATGACGCGGCCGGGGATCGAACACCGGACTTTCCGCTCTCCGGGCGGACGCTCTACCTCTACACCGCGGAGGCGCTCGGTTACAAAAGAGGAATGAATCTGGTTTAACGGCACTTTTAACAGTATTTCAGTTGTGTTGATGAGGGAGGAAAGTTCAAAGTGATGCAGGTCTTAGATGTCTTTGGTGAAGCTCACGGGCAGGGGTATGGCGCTGACAAAACAAAAAACATTCACATCTGGCATTGGAACCACGATCATTTATTGCTGGTACATCTAATGGACCATTTCCCTCAAAAGATGTTGGAGCAAACATTATTGACGAAACTGAAGGATGAGTTGATATCTGGTTTGATCACAGCTGTAACGTTTAACGGGGGATTAGACTCGGTTCAAGTGGCAATCCTTGTAATTTTGATTCAAACCGGTTTGTTTGCAAACTGAAATTCTATTATCACATACCAGCATCAGTCTAGCAGTTAATGGTCAACTTATTTACATCGGGACAATGACTCCGTTCAACACAGGGAACTTTGAAACAACGTCTCGATCTAGATTCGACCGGGCACAAGGTTGTGAAACGTTGTTCCGTTTCTGTAACCCACGCCAGTTGAATAGTGTGTGGTTCCATTTGCAACCAATCACTGTTTGTGACTAACTGCAGGTAACACCGCTATAAATACCTCATTTTTTTACGACATAACGTAACGCGTGATATTGCATAAACGCAGTTAACGACTATTTTGTCGACACCTTTCACGTAAACAGAATAATTATAAATAAACGAATACAGACTGACACATCTTTCTCGAAATTTACCTCATTATGATTATAACGCTTGAGTGTCATTGACGTTAAATTTTCATATGCCTTGTCTTTAGATCTTTAAATACTCCAGAACGAAAACCATTTCATGCCTACTTTACATCCTGGATTGCATCCAAAGCATATGCCATATTCGACGTTTACACTGGTGTCTCAAATTAGCTTTTAAAAAAATGATTTAAAAAGTGGAACAAAACTAGCCGTGCACTCAGTACATGTGTTTCTGGATTGGCTGAGCAAATTGTTTGCTCCTAATCCGAAGTTTCTGCCCGGAGATATTTTTGATGTGTTCTTTCACCGGAAATGATAACTTGTGTGTCAAATTTGAGACGTGATGCGTAATAAGTTCCAGATGTTAGACTAAAGAAACGACGTTATCTGAGAGTCTGACGCTGAACACACGCCATATTGGTACCAGAACATTTCCAATCATAGTAAATCAAACTGTCACAAAAGTTTTGTTTGTTGTTTAACGCCGCGCTCAGCAATATTCCAGCTATATGACGGCGGTCTGTAGGTAATCGAGTCTGGACCAGACAATCCAGTGATTGACATCATGAGCATCGATCCAGGCAATTTGGGTCGATTACAAAAGTAGAAACGTAAAACTATTTCTTTTCTTGTCCATGTGATTATTGGCCAGTTATGTTGTTGTCTTCAAAAAGATCATATTCAAAGGTAAGATATGCTTCAGTTTTCGATAAAGCAGTGGAGCAAGGTTACATCCCCAGCACTCTATTACTTGTCCCAAGAGGCGACAAAATGGTTAGGCTATATGACGTAGTTGGTGACGTGCCATCGTACCCCCAATGTGACGATTCTCAAAGTAGTAGTAAGTGGCTTACATGTATATGTACCACACGCGACTATTTCAGGTGCACTGATATAGCCGGAATATTGCAGAATGCGGCAAAACAACACGCAAACAAATCTATGCCAGTGTCAGTGTTTGAAATGGTATATCACTATACAGTACGTGTGTTTGTCACTTACTTTGTTAGGTTGGGTGTAGTCACGAGCTTATGGGAAATAATTCTCTTTATCTTTATTCTTGCCAGGTGTGATGTTTACTATTCTCAATTTAATCCCAAATTGTTCTGCTCCAAATGTATCTGGGATGCTGTGGATGTGATGTACAGATGTGGTCACATCCTACTTGACAAGGAGGGCACATACTAGTAATTGAACACACAACAGTTCGTTTTGTAATGAAGTATTGATTTGCCAAGTGACGTAGGTTTTGTTGATGAGTGTAACGGGTAATCATTTTCCTGGTTGTTATATCCAGGGAGCCAGCGAAGAGGAGAGGCATGTTGCAAGAGACCTCCTGGATTTCCTCTTCCCAAATAGGTACGTATATTATATTATATATATATGAATGTCCCTCTATGGCGAGATTCAACACAAGCCGTGAGATCATACAAACTAATCATAGCACCATCGAAGTGTAAACTTATGGTTGTCAGGATGGAGGATCACACACTGGTCACCTAACACCCCCATATTCCTACTCTACATCAGTTATAAATGTAACATATACCACCGTCAACAGCAGTTATAAATGTAACATGTACCACCGTCAACAGCAGTTATAAATTTAACATATACCACCGTCAACAGCAGTTATACATGTAACATATACCACCGTCAACAGCAGTTATAAATGTAACATATACCACCGTCAACAGCAGTTATACATGTAACATATACCACCGTCAACAGCAGTTATACATGTAACATATACCACCGTCAACAGCAGTTATACATGTAACATATACCACCGTCAACAGCAGTTATACATGTAACATATACCACCGTCAACAGCAGTTATAAATGTAACATATACCACCGTCAACAGCAGTTGTACATGTAACATATACCACTGTCAACAGCAGTTATACATGTAACATGTACCCCCGTTTGCTCCAGGTATATATGTAACACATATCACCGTCATCAGCAGCAGTTTCACATGTAACAAGGAGGTAATCGTATAGCCACTACACAAGAAAAATGCAGCAAAGAAAACTCTTGTAATGATTTATAATCACACTTCCTGGTTCTAAATACCAGGAAGTTTCTTTCTAACTATCAAACGCCGAGTATATGTCAATTATCTGATTTGTTTTTTTAGATTCATTCACGAACACCTAACCCCAACGCCTAGATGGGGAACTGTGGTACTGGCAGAATTGTCATGTGTCTTAACTGCAGATGTGCCAGAATCAGTACCAATTACACCAAATAGAGGTTACGATTTTATGCTGTTGCTCGGCTCGGCCCGGCCCGGCTCGGCTCGGCTCGGCTCGGCTCGGCTCAGCCCGGCTCGGCTCGGGTCTGCCCTGCCCGGGTCTGTCCTGCCCTGCCCTGCCCTGTCCTGCCCTGCCCTGACACACGGCGCTTGTACAGCACTGCTTCACTGTGCACCGGCCTTAACACCTGCGTAATTTTCACCTTGCCTTCGACATTTGTCTCTCCAGATCGTCGTATAACCGAACCTGTAGCTGTTCAAAGCGGCGTTATTCCCAACTCACTCACTTACATATATACAGCTTCCTACTCATGACCTGGAATAGCCTAGCGATTAAGAGTTCACTCATCAAGCCCAACACCCGGGTTCAATGCCCCACATACATTCTTGGTGTCCCGCCTCGATATGACTGAAAATTTGCCGCGTAAAACACGACTCACACACTCAAACACGTCATGTATATACACGAGTTGTATGTGTTTGAAAACCATATTCCATGACAAGTGACACACCCTACACTATATCACATTATCAGTTTGAGGGTAGATATTCACATTTCATATCCGTAGTATAAAACTGACATACCATATATTGAGTGAGTGAGTGAGTTGGGTTTAACGCCGCTTTTAACAGTATTACAGTCATATCACGGCGTGTCAGCTTAATTGTGGGAGGAAAGCCCGAAGTGATGCAGGTCTCAGACGTTAACCACTTCGGTGAAACCCACGAGCACGGGTATGGTGCTGACAAACCTAGAAACATAATCGGGGCGAACCGGGATTCGAACCCACAATCATAGGTTTCTGGCGTGCCCAAGGGACGCAACTCTGCACAGCTAATCGCGGCGCCTTAGACGACTGGGCCACCCGTGCCCCCTACCATATATTGACGAGTCTTCGTTTAACTTCATGTATGAAACAAGTCACATGCGGATGTAACAAAGATGGATATAGTGAAAGACTGGGCCAGTGGCTATAACGACGTCAATTCTTAATGAGAGAGGTTACTGCTGGCCCACTTTCACAAAGCGATCGTAGTGTATGACTTGGGTGTCACCCACATAGCATAGATTACAATAGTCGTAGTGCCAAAATCGCTTTGTGCAAGGGTCGGTCGGGTAGCCAAGTGGTTAAAGCGTTCGTTCGTCACGCCGAAGACACGGGCTCGATTCCCGACATGGGTACAATGTGTGAAGCCCATTTCTGGTGTCCCCCGCCGTGACATTGCTGGGATATTGCTAAAAGCGGCGTAAACCCATACTCACTCACTCTTTGTGCAAATTGGCCCTTGTTACAAACTTCGGTAGAACGAACGAATTAAGGACCCCGTTGTCTGTCTCTAAGACCCTAGAGAATAAATTAGAAATGAATTCAGCTCAAGTCTAGAATGATTTCCCAAGTTGGATTGCCTCATCTCCAGGATTAAACATTGCTGTCGGTTCCATTTTGGATTTTACTTTTTTTTATTTTGCAGACAGATGGTTTTTTTAAAAGGATAACTTTATTTCTGGGCCTAAATGTTATTCTGGGGGTCCCTTTGCCATGTCCAGTGTTGTCATTCTTAAACTGACTTTATTACAGATCAGCAGTGGAAATTCCAGAAGGCGATGAACCCGCGGAATTCTGGGACATATTAGGAGGAAAAGAACACTACGCGACCGGACAGAGATTGGCGGTACAAATATATATATAAATAACATACAACGTACCATGCTAAATAATATTTTCATAGATTAACCGAATAAAATTTCCGACGCCCCGGTCTGTGTTCGTGAGCATATTCTTCAGAACACAGACACAACTTGTTTAATAACCCTGACCGTATGGGAAGTTTGGTTTATTATTATTACTGGATGCCAAGACATGTTGTTCGCTTTTCCTTTCCAGACACCAGGCAACGACATGCCGCCTCGTCTTTTTCAATGTTCCAACGCTTCGGGCAGGTTCCTTGTAGAGGAAATCGTCAACTTCAGTCAAGAAGTGAGTATGAGGTTCATTGTAACTGCGCATGCGTCCCCGGAAATACATCTAACAATTCCACGTGACATGTTTATATGCGCGCATGCGTCCACGTGGTCCCGGAGAACAGATGCACAAATAAAATGGGACTCTAAGTGTGTTTGTGGGGGATAGTGGTAATATGGATTGCTTATCTTCATGTCGTGTTTAGAAAGCGAAACTCGACGTGTTTTGACATGGGGAAATGAGATGCACGTGTGAGGGTGGGACAGGGTGCCGCACTAGGCACAAGTTTAAATTATGGCAGTTTCACAGTTTGCGGAGTTTGAATTATGGCAGTGGTGTATTATATCATTTTTAAACGAGTAAGTGAGTATGGTTTTACGCCGCATTTAGCAATATTCCAGCAAATTGACGGCAGGTGACACCAGAAATGGGCTTCACACATTGTCATTTTTAAACGAACGCAGTTTGGTTTTTGCCAAGGTCATCATCACCAAGGTATCCTCAATAGAGAACCACTGAGAGGTGAAGAACGCCAAAGACTCGAATTCGAGTTTTCAAATCTGGTATAATTTGTGAAACATTCCTGGTGACCACAGACGTCATATTGCAGGAGTATTGCTGAAGGCGGCGTATAATTTCATTCCCATGAAAGATTTAACACCGTTCGTCGCAATATATGTGTTGGGAGAAAAACTCCATGACGCAAGACGTCATGTTTTATCACTGGACAAACAGGAAGAGTAAGGTCTCGGCATATGGTTTGTGTGGCCCTCATTTATAGGAGTCTAATGGGTAAAATACATTTGTGGTGTCCCCACGTCGATGTGGCTGGAGTGAGTGAGTATGTTAGTTTGATTGTAGCAATATTCCAGCAATATCACGGCGGGTGACACCAGAAATGAGCTTCACATATTATACCCATCGAACCCGGGTTTTCAGCGTGCGAACTAACGCTTTAACCACTAGGCTACCCGACCGCCCTGGTGTTACTGGAACATGACATCGTTGTAATACTGAGATACTGTTCAAAGCGGTATTATAGCTCACTCATTCACTCACTAAAGCTCCGAGGAGTATATTCCTCCACTGAGCTGGAGTGAGTGAGTGAGTTTGGTGTAATGGCGCCTTGAACAGTATCTCAGTGACATTAGGGCGTGTCAGGTTGAATGCATTTGTCCCTTGGGTAAAACCAATGAGCGCGGCTACTGTGTACATACCATGGATCTTGCATCGGGCGAACTTTTCGAATCAACAAACCAGTGCATCCTGGCAGCTAAGGGACGCAACTCTGCAGAGCAGGCTAAAGAGCGAGTGCGTTGGTTTTGACGCCGCTTTGAACAGTATTCAAGTCACATCACGGTGTGTCAGTTTATTGTTGAAGAAAAGCATGTTCAAGACCTCAATGAGGCACAATGATGTTATTGAGTATTGAGTTCTTGACATTATTTTATATCAAATACCATATATCGGTGTGTGGTATGTGATAAAATGTATTATTATCAGTGAGTGAGTGGATGAGTATGGTTTTATGCCGCTTTTAACAATAATCCAGCAATATCACGGCGGGGGACACCAGAAATAGGCTTCACACATCATACCCATCTGGGGAATCGAACCCTGGCGTAACAAGCAAACGCTTTAACCACTAGGCTCCCCGACCGTCCCGAATTATCAACGAAGTGAAGTCATCATCATTTTGAGCTGATGATCTTCTCTTGGTACTCCATGCACCAGTGTTGTCAACCAGCATGGTATTGTTGTTGTTTTCAATCCTCACCTCAGAACATTCACATAATAATATAGCGTTGCGATGTCGTAACAGGTGTTCAATAATCGCGTGTAAAGCAGATCATTTTTTTACTTTGATGCAACCATGTTATCGGCGCTGATACAACCACGATATCCAGGACAACCTGTGGACACAGTGCATGATGGGATACACGTTTCGCTAAACTTTGATGGAAATCTTTAAGAGGAGTTTATTGGAGCTAACTCATCCCTGAACCGGAACACGACACGTACCGGACGGTTTAATCTTCTTACCACAATATACTCCGTATCCTCCCTTGGTACCGTATTGTACTAAATGTACGTACTATGTGTTTGCTAATAGGCTATAGCCACTGACCGATGAGGGACAGATCTTGCATTTGATATCATGTTAACTTATCTGACGTGTTAAAATCATATCGGCTATCCAATCACAGGCCACGTCACTTACGAGATGGCGAAAGTGAAAGCCCGAATGTCTTTTCTAATCCTACAACCTCGAAAAGGTTAACACGAGGCATTCCTAACGACGTTTAAGGGTTTTACGACTTACTGAATGCTAGACATCGTCGATCTCACGCTTCAATGGGATTAATATTTGAAACGGAAGAGATTTTCCATAGCCCGTGGTAAGTTCTACCATGCAATCTCGACCATCTATAGACATACCAGAGTTTCTTTTCTTCAAACTGTGTTATTATCAAATTTTGAATCGAGAACCTCGTTAAATATATTTCAATGCGTAGTCTGGAAAGGGAGTCGCCATTTTGAAACGAGTGTCGTAAAGTTCGAGAAAGCTGCTTTCTGATTGGCTAATGTCGGCATCCTGTCAGTCACATCATTGGTAGGTCAAAGTTCGCGAAAGGTACCCGTGACCTGTAATGGGATGTCCTCAGATCAGTGGTGTAGCGAGTACTAAGATCTAATTTTAATGAGATTGACGTCAGAGCACCCAGTTGGTATCACGTTACTGAACGAGACCGCCTCCGTGGTCAAGAGGTAGAGCGGGGTTCGATCCCCGGCCGCGTCATACCAAAAGACGTTAAAAGATGGTATTTGTTGTTACCCTGTCTGGCGCTCGGCATTAAGACTGGGGTATTCGTGTTAAACTGCGGCATGGTATCTCAGTGAGCTAGCACTATAAATCGGCACCAGCCCGGACTAGTACAAGCAGCCACACAAACACACACACGTGCGATATAAGTGCATATAAGTGTTATATAATCTTGAACGCGACGTTAAACCCCATTTCACCCGCCGTTACTGCACGAACATTAGACTGACGTTAGGTCACGTGACCTATAGGAGGAAATGCCCGCTGTGATGCAGGTCCGAGGCGTTTAATACTGTGTTCTTGAAACCAGGACGTGAGGCAAACCACGGATCATAATCAGGTGAATCTGGGATTCGAACCCGTGACCAGGAGAGCTGGAAGCAAAGGTCGCAACGATGAACAGGAACCAGTGTGCATGACTCATGTGAACTGTATTGACCACGAACTCATTAAACGACTAACAAAATTCTAACGAACTGATCTTAGGTCGGTACATGTACTTTTAAGCTGCGTAGTGTATTAAAATGTAAACAAACCTGAATTAGGACAACAACAGTGCACTGAGTTAAAATACTTGGAAGGTGATCAACAGATTTAGAAAAATCAAGATTTGCACTAAGACTGAGGTGAATAAGTACTTTTTGAAAATGAATTTAATATCGACATAACAAAACTTAGTCTAAGAGAAATCTACAAATCCTACCACCGCGATATGTACAGTACCCAAAGGGAAAGACAAATCTGTCTTATGCTTTAACGGATATAACATCACTGTTGGCGCTGACCGGATAATGCTTTTAATTCTACTAATCAACGTTTGCAACATAGATATGTTCAGATGTTGACGTGAAGCCATTATACACCATTATGATTCTATGGAATAAGCATCGATTTAATTTTCGGCTTCCCGGCGGCAAACTCTCAAGTTCTAGGATGTACTTGTGTTTCGCAACATCAAAGGTCTGACCCAATATATAAGCTCACCCCAGTCATAACAAATCTACAGCGACCTAAAATACGCCTAACCCTTCTCATCAAACAACACACAAACAGGTAGCTTAAGTGTATCAAAATAAATCCTGAATGTTAACGGTCGTATTTACCAGCTCCTAAGCAAGGTACGCGTAGATTTAACGCTCAGATTGTAGTGAAAGGTTTTGCAGCCAAGGCTCCAAGTTAGACATGGCATCGGTTTGTTTTGTGCTTTCAATCCCGATACTAACTTGTATTTTTCGTGGCAAGAGCCGAATCTTCTGCTTGATTAAAGCGTTCTCGAAGTTTAATATACTTCAAGTTCTTATCTGTGTAATCCCGTTATACGACGCGGGGATATCAAGTCTTCTCCGGCTGCGCTCGTGTACTCATTGCCCACATGGCCAGAGCAACTGCGGCTGAGGGTTATTGGTACGAGAGTGATGTATTTTACAGATTTCTTTTAAGGTCAACATGTTCTGAATGTGAAATATGAGGGCAGTGCTTTATTACGCTTTATTACGCCATTCATACATTTTATCAAAAGTAATCAAAATGCCATTAGTTAGCAGGAAATGGATTATTCAAGAAATGTGTTTGTAAATGTAGGTTTGGTAGGTGTGGGTAAATATGCTTGTTCCTGTAAGCCTACGGGTGCAATGGGTTAGGCAAAGCTGCTGATGATTTTATTTTGGCTTAGTTATCAGTTCGCACGATAAACTGTGTATATTTATATAATTATAAAGGATAACTGGTCCTGATATTAAGTACTCTTGTTAGGTGTTGATTTAACACTGATAGTGTCTGACGCTTTCACACCATCCATATGTCTTTTAAGCCTCTTGTATATTTTGTTTTATTCAACCAAACATATTGCTTTCGGGGTTTTGAATTATCGTCAGAAACAAGTTATTGTTTGTTTGTATCGTGTTTCAACATACTGATTTTATTTTTACTAAGAAGGGAGTAAATTTAAAACATCAACGCCTGAGATAACCCGTGTCGATTTTCCGCCGAGACACATTTAATTGAGCGTCAAAAGCAAAAAAGCGGTGAAAATTATATGAATGGATCACTAAAAATCAGTGATGTCGACAGTAAATTGTTTGCGAAAAAGGTAAGCATGTCCTGCCCTGAAACATGTTGTTTGTTTGTTTGTTTGTTGTTTTACGCCGTTCTCAGCAATATTCCAGCTAGATTACGGCGGCCCCAAACACAC